GCCACAGAGAACTATCTCAAAGCAGCAGTAGTGGTTTCTTTCCTCGTTGATCACTGTATTGCCATGAACATGTTTTGAAAGTGCACACTGTGAATAAAATTTGAAATCTTCTTTATACAAAATATGCATATCATACATTTTGATACTTAAACGTTCTTTTCCACACAATTCTGTTTTATTTTTTTAATGGAATATATGTGTGCAAAATGTATAAAGATGAAGCAGTCAGCTTGCATAAAGACTGGAAATTCCATGGGGCAGTACCACAGTTGTCTGAGTTAGAATCAACTCAGTGGTTTTATGTATACAATATGCAAGTGAATGCTATTACAATCCGTTCCTTCTAGAGGTGTCAGTTATGTAAATAGGCTATTTGACTGTTGTTTAAAAATAGGGTTATTTGGATTTTATCAAAGTTTATCTTTAGAATATTGTTGCTATGTGTGTGGAGTCAGAACCAACTCAGAGCTGATCCTCCAGCAAGTTTCCTGAGGTTATAAAGCATCACATGGGAAGAAATTGCACATCCTTCTCCCTCAGAGCAGCTAGTGGATTCAAACTGCCTGCCTTTCGGTTAGCAGCACAACTTTATCCGTTAGGCTACCAGAGTTCTATTTTATGTTACTATCCTAAAATGAAAGATTTCTATAAACAGCTACTAGAAAAATGGTATGCATGCAAGTGGTGTAAGAGTCTGCATCACACATAAAATTGATGGCTGTCAGATTTCTTCTATGTTCACTGCATTGTCTTTTAAAGCATGCTCAAGCTTATTCATTATATGAGAAAGATTTCTGTGAGAAATCTTTTTTGACTTGTTATAAGATGCCAATCAAAACTATAAACAAAAGTCCCTAAAGGAAGTGTTGGTGTAATATCTAAATAGGAGCTTGATCGTGCAATGGAGTAAGAACATTTGTCATCACAGGTTGTGATAAAACCTGGGAAATTTAATCTGCAGGCTAACTTGTTCTAATTACCAAGTTCTAAGTAAGTTATTTTGTCACTTTAATTGTTATGCTTTAAGGCAAAAGATTTCACGCAAGTGAATAAAAGAATTTAAACTCAAAAAGTTGGAGACTGCTCAGTCATTATTTAGGTTGAAGTACTATTTATCAAACTTTATTCTTTTGGCATCTGCCAATAGTTTAAAATATATGTCACCAAAATAGACTCTACCTTGTTCAACATTTCCTTTGTAAAACCCCAACTAAAAGGTTGTGTTTGTTTGTTTTTTTTCTAAACAAAAACTTTGAATTTAAGAGAACATTGTAATTCAGTATAGTCACAGGTCTGGAGAATTCTTAGATTATATGTAGTTCACTTATTTCAGATCCTCTTGGGTTAATGTGACTATACTTTTATATTAGTATATTCTGCAAAGTATTTTGTGACAGTTGCAGCAGTGACTACTTCTAGACACACAGAATGATCCCATTTTTTTTCTACTCTGAACGTCCCAGTTACATAGAATATTATCAATATCAGGGTACTCCATACTGGCTTTAATTACACGCAGACTTCATAAAAGTAGTGTATAGACCATTCATTGATGAATTAAATAAAAAAAGGAATGGCTGAATTTAAATACAAACAAGGAAAGTATGGCACCATATTTAAAAAACAAGTGTACATCCAGGTTCAAAGATGGTTATCAGGAAAAGGGATTTTTTCCCCCTTTATTGTGATTTCTTTTTCTAGCTATTTCTTGGAACTTTAGCAGTGATGCAGCTATGGTGGAAGGCTTCACTGCTCTGTGGAGAGAAGATAAAAGGATGAGCACTATAGCCGGGCAAGTGACTGACTATCCAGACCAGGTGAAATATCCAGTCCAATTCTTTTGGCTAAGCTTGCATTGGCTGGTTATTGAGAATACTATTCTCATTATTCTCGATACTCTCCATTCCTATAATGTTTATGTTAAAAAATTCTCCTACCCCCACCCCCCATTTTTTTAAAGCATCAATAAGCTTGTATACTACACACATATTTGCTTTTGAAAGCTGAATCAAGCACACCAGGAGGGGCTAAAATTGACTCCAATTGACAGCTACTAAAAAAATAAAAATAAAAAGGCAAATGAAATCATCAAAATAGGGCTTGTCATAGAAACAGCATGTTAACATAGCAGTCTCTCCAGTAGATTTCTGGTATTCCAGGAAGGTCCTCTATTTTTGCCGCCAGTAATATAAGAAACAAAAGAATATACTGGCTTTCTATATACTGCATAATTTAAAGTTGTTTTCTAAAAGTGAAGTCTGGCAATTAAAGATCATTCCTAAAATTATTTAAATTCAGAATATAAACCTTTCTGCATGAAATTTATAGTCACACTAGTCTAAAGACCAAAAAAAAAAATTTACATTTATTCCATAGGGAAAAACTAATAATCTTTAAAGGAAAAAAAATCCTGGAAATTATCTCATTAATCAAATTAACCTAGCAAGAAGATTTATTTTAATTTGGCTCAAGGATTATTATTTTTCTATAAATAATATTCTATACAATAAAGCCTTGTTGGGTATCAATCTAACAAAGACAAAGAACAGAAATCCAGCTATTTAAAACTGAATGATAAACTTAGAAAATCCTGCTACTCAAGACTGAATAAACTTATAAATTTAATTTTCTTTAATTTGCCTCAAAACAAATGATTAGGACTCATAAGACAATTGTCTTATAAACATGAAAGTAACTCTATCATTATCATGATCTTTATTTTAACCCCTTGTCCTATTATCACAAAATGTTTTCATACAAAAATTTAAGAAAGATATTTTTAATCTGCAAAGGAATCTGAAATTTGTTTTCCAATGATAGTTGAAGTTTTCCATCTGACATTTTCCATTTCTCATAATCGTATTTCCATATTATAAAATGTACAGGTAAATTATGCAACTGTTTTATAAAAATTAGTGTCTCTATACTTATGTGTGCCTATATATATGCATATATATATAAATTCTACGAGTGGACCATTAGATGATTCCTCCGGAGAAAGCTCCTTGAATCTTAAAATAGTGGGATCTTCAGAAGGAAATAACAAAGCAGCTCTATAACCTAACTGCTGCTTAAAATGTTCATAAATAGTCATTTAACCATTTAGATAGCCTACCCATGGTTTGGAATAGTCGAGATTATAGAAAAATTGCAGGAAAAACAATGGTTAGTGATTTGAAAGTAAACTCTGTATTATTAAAATCACACAAATTTATCTTTGAAATAAGAAAAGGGTTAATACTAAAATTAGAGTTCCTTTAACAATTCTTATTGAGTAAAGAAATAATTTGCAAACTTCTATTTTCCACTGTGTAAAAAAAAAAACCCAATCTTTTCTTGGGGCTTCACAAGATCAATTACAATGCAAACAGACTAAATCTTTGGAAGGGCTGGTCTAAGGGTTTAAGACTTTCTAAATTTTTATACAGTGAGATTTACTTAGGAGACATTGAAATGTAAAGATAGTGCAGGCAGTTCAAGCTCTATTATTTTCAGGCACAAAAATCATATCATTTTATACAAAACTTTGATTTCTTTATTTGAGAAATTAAAAATATGGTATTATATATATATTTATATAAACTTCTATTCCTCTATAAATATAGATGATCTTGTGATAGTGAACAGAATAAATGCATACCAAATTCAAAAACCATTGTCATGTTAGGGTATGACAGATATAGATAAATTTAGGTCTTAAGTACTGACATTTGATAAACTCTTAAAGTTTAAAACAATACAATCAGGAAGATTACTTTTCTTCTCCTTTTCACAGAGAACTGAAGAGAGTATCTTAAAATGGCTTTGAAAGACTTACATTTGACACATTTCTGTAAATCTGTAAAAGGAGCACAGAATTTTTATGCAGGAGACCTGCACACATTTTTATTTAATGTCTGTCAATATTCTGCTTGTTTACTCAAAAAGCTAACCCCATCAATTTTTCCACCTCTTTTACCTCCTGTAATCTTACCAAGGTGTGGATTTTTCCTCCCTTAAGATGTGCTGTTTAACAGCAATCATAAGGAAGATAAAGTATACTATATTTATATTTTTAAGTTTCTGGTATATGTCTAATTATCATGTGATTAAAAAGAAGAAAACAGGACTTCATTTGGAGAATGCTTGTTACATAGAAATTTCCTTAAAAGTTTTCAAATTCTGTTTATATTTTACCATTCTGTTAAACGAAACAAAGCTTCCCAGGTGACCTCGGTGTTATTCTGTTACAGAGGGGTAAAGCTAAATGCTAAGGCGGTCTTGGTCTGTCCTAGAGGCAGGTTGCTAGGCATCAGAATGCAATTAGAATTAACATTTTACAACCCTCATAGTCAGTTTCTCCCAACCCACACAAAGCTTCATGATTATTCCCAAATCTCGGTAACCACATCTTTCCATGACGCCAGCCAAACCCATACCAGGTTTTAGACACTAGGAAAATGGAATGAGCTCATCCACCAAAAATTAGACTTCAAAAAGTTTGGCATTGACTATCCCACTCACCCCCTAACCTTAGGCGGAGGGAGGGGTGTAAGGAAGCTGGAGGCAGTTTGAAGGGGAACCTGGGAGTGCCAGCACCCGGGGCCACCACTGAGCAGGAGAAGGTTTGAGAGAAAAATCAGCTTTAGAAAGTCAAAGGGACAATCTCTGAAATTTGCCATAGGGCGAATGTGGAACCCAGACGGCAAGGAGCCCTCCCCAGACTTTATAAACTGTGTAGTTTGTACCTTAAAGGTCCACACGCCAAGTAGAGAAGGGAATGGAGGAAGTAAGATTAGGGGAAGGGACCCAGAGTGAACCACCGAGCCGCACCCCATGGAGATGGGTGGGCTTGCTGGAAACAGAGTGCAGGCCAGGCAAGGAGGGGTGTGGGCACAGCCTTGAAAGTAGAGTGGTGTGCTTTGCTTTCCCCCCTCTGCAGTACTCCGAAAAGAGCAAAAAGGTGGGGACATCTTTAAACCGCTCTAAGTAATTAAAAAACAAAAACGCGTGATCGGCTGTCATTTAAATACAAATATACTTACAAAAATCTTACACAGGCTATTTACAATCATAAAAGCGTAAAGTCCTGGTATAAGAGGGTGAGAAATAGATTTGTCCATGTCCCCTCTGGGCAGTAAGGATCCCCGGGGCCCTATGCTCCTAGGGAAGGATGTTTTTTGCAGGATCTATGCTGTTAAGTGAGAGAATAAGTAAACCAGGCTAGGAAAGGATTCCAAGGGCCAGCTTTCACAGGGTGGTTGGGACTGGCGCCAGGCTGAGGGGTGGTAACCAGCTGTGCCCCCCAGGTCTCAGACGGTGGTCTCCCCCTGTTTACTGTTGGTCAGCCTGGTGTAGAACTTCCTCCAAGAGTTGAGAGTCTTTCCAGACCAGATCCAGAAACCCGACGTGATGCCCACGATCAGTGTCATAAGGTACTTGATCATGAAGACTGTGAAGTCGGGGCTCATGGGCGGGTGTGGTGGGGCACCCCCACCTCCCTGGAGGTGGGGGCAGGGGATGGCGTAGCTCTTGCAGCTCTGGGCCACCCAGCTGCGCTCCCACTGGTCCCGGAAGGCCTGTTCATAGAAGTAGCAGGCGATGACAATGGTGGCGGGGACCGTGTAGAGCACGCTGAAGACCCCAATTCGCACCATGAGCTTTTCCAACTTCTCAGTCTTAGTGCCATCGTGTTTCATGATGGTACGGATGCGGAAGAGCGACACGAAGCCCGCCAGCAGGAAGGAGGTGCCGATGAACAAGTACACGAAGAGGGGCGCCAGGACAAAGCCACGCAGGGCGTCCACGTTGTTAAGCCCCACGAAGCACACCCCGCTCAGGACGTCGCCGTCCACCTGGCCCAGCGCCAGGATGGTGATAGTCTTGATAGCCGGCACGGCCCAGGCGGCCAAGTGGAAGTACTGCGAGTTGGCCTCGATCGCCTCATGCCCCCACTTCATGCCGGCCGCCAGGAACCAGGTGAGCGAAAGGATCACCCACCAGATGGAGCTGGCCATGCTGAAGAAGTAGAGCATCATGAAGAGGATGGTGCAGCCCTCCTTCTTGGTGCCCTGCGCCACCGTGCGCGCCCCGTCCTCGGCAAACTTGTCGTTACACACCACCCGGTCCTCCAGCAGGAAGCCGGCGATGTAAGCCACGGCCACCGCTGTGTAGCAGCCGGACAGGAAGATGATGGGCCGCTCGGGATAGCTGAACCGTCGCATGTCCACCAGGTACGTGAGCACCGTGAAGAGCGTGGAGGCGCAGCACAGCACCGACCAGATTCCTATCCAGGTGCGCGAGAAGCGCAGCTCCTCAGGCCCAAAGTACATGAGCCCATACACTTTGGTCGGCTCGCAGGGCGCCCCGCAGTCCTTCTCCCCCAGGAAGTGGTAGTTGAGGTAGGAGGGCACCTTGAGGGCGCGCGGGCAGGAGAACTTGCCTCGCTCGGAAGAGCCGGCGCCCCCCGCGAAGCCGCCGCCACCGCGGTGACCACCGCCGCCGTACTGGGGATTGCTAGTCCAGAACTCTGGCAGCAGCGAGGGCGTTGGGGTGCCCTTGTCCGAAGTGTTCTGGCCCACGCACAGCTCGCCGGCGCCGTGCACCGGGAACTTCTCGCACTTGAGCGTTTCGGGCCACTGGAAGCCAAACTTGTTCATGAGCGCCTCGCAGCCTTGGCGCGCGCGCTCGCACAGGGAGCGGCAGGGTGGCAGTGCCTGCTCCAGCACAGTGCACACGGGCGCGTACATGGAGCACAGGAAGAACTTGAGCTCGGCCGAGCACTGAACCTTCACCAGCGGGTAGAACTGGTGCACCTCGAGGCCCGCATCTTCTTGGTTCGTGTGGCCCAGCAAGTTGGGCATGATGGTCTGGTTGTATGCAATGTCCGTGCACAGCGGGATGGAGATGGGCTGGCAATAGCCGTGGTCTGGGATGGAGATGCCCCGCTCACCATTGTACTGCTGTCCGCTCTGCTGCTGTGGCGGAGGCGGTGGAGGGGGTTGCTGGCCCGGCCCGGGCCCCTGCCCCGGCCCCTGGCCGGCTGCCTGCGCCCGGACCCCCAGCAAAAGCGGAGCCTCCAGCAGCCAAAACAGCAGCAACAGCCGGTGCGCCAAGCGCCCGGGGTCAGCTGGGGGTCGGCGACGGCTGCTCCAGTCCCCTCTCCCCTCCATCGCTGTCCAGGTCGGGAGCGCCCGGGTACAAAGTTCCCAGCTCCCGCCGGCAGCGGCCTGGGACTTCTTAAGCGCCTCCTCATCAGCCATACTTTTTCGGCTCCTTTCTTGGCGTTGATCGGCTGGAGCTGGAGGTGGGGCGGCCGGCGGCAGCTCCCTCTGCGCCTGGGAGGATCTCCCCTGCGCCGGTGCCTTCCGTCGAGCCCCCGCCACGCTCCACTCTCTTCTCCGGCTCCCGCTCCGTGTCCCGCAGCCGCCGCCGCCGCCGCGGAAACTTGAGATTCATGAAGCGCAGGCGGCGGGGAGAGCCCAGGTGGCTCGGGTGCGCTGGGGTCGCGTCCCGCCTTCCTGCTCCTCGGCTGCTTGCTGGCTCCCGGCTGGCGGCGCCGCGCTAGTGGCCGCGGCCGTGAAGAGCACACAACTCTGGGCAGCCCGGGGGCCTCGGCTCCCCCCTGCGCCTCCGCCTCCTCCTCCGCCGCCGCCTGACCATTTGTGTCAATCCCTCAACTCGCTCCCTCTCCTCTCTCGCGCGCGCCCTCCGACCGGTTTCCAGGCGCCCCGCAGTCTGTCTTTCACCAGGAGGGAGGAGCCTTGAAACCGACGCGGAACTGGAGTCTCAGGGACCGTCGCCCAATCGCGGCACGGGCTTTCCGGCGCAAAGGGCACCAGCCGCCAGATTCCGTAGGCAGAAGCCGGCTGCAAGCAAGAGGAGGAGGAGGCGGGAGGAGGAGGAAGTAGTGCTGGTGGCAGGGGCACTGCTCAGGCACAAAGATCTGGTTTGCTATGGAGTGGGACAGGCTTGGTTGCTTTTGCTTTTGCGGAAGAAAGAGCTAGGACAAGTAGGAGAATGGTCCCATATGCTGCTGGAAATAATGAATAGGAGTCTGCGGACCGCGCGACTTGGCTTTTCTTTCTTTTATCCATTTTCATGTGTAACAATCCTGCTCTTCACGCTGGTTACAAACTGCAAAACGCGCGCTTTGCTCAGAACAGATGCCTTTAACTTAAGGAGTGCCTTTGAGATCGTTCCTCTCGAGGTTTTGTTTAAAATATTACTCTCATAAATCCTAGAGCTCCCAGGCTGGTTTGGCGGGCTTTGGACGCGCCATTTCCCCCAAGGAGAAGTTCTCGGGATCTTGCCAAGCGAAGAAAAACAAGGACAAAACAAACACTTTAAAAAGTCAGAAGCGCCCTCTGCTTACTATCATCTTTGCCTGTAGCCAAACTCTTTTTTTCTCTGTAGTTAAGTCAGACACAAAGGCAAAGAAAAGCTGTGTGTTTTCATTTAGAAATGAAAACTAAAGCAGTTGGCAAAGAGGCGTTGGGGTGCCTCTTCAGGTAGATACACCTGGTTGAAGACTCTGGGAAGGCAGCTGGACCCTGAGAGTTACTCAGGGCCCCATTGTTGTTGTTGTTATGTGCCGTCGAGTCGTTTCCGACTCATAGCGACCCATAGGAGCTGCTAAACCTGGGAGACACCCACTGCTCGGGTTAGAACCTCCAAAGGTTTCCTAATCTTGGACCTGTTGGCATTACTGGGGACAGCAGTATCTAAAAAACTGCAATTGAAAGTAACGATAGATTTCCCTCTTAGGGAGCTCTGGTGGGCTAGTGGTAAGGAGATGAGCTGCAAAACTAAAGGCAGACTCTAGTTCAAATTCACCAACTGCTTTCCCTTCCACCCAAGATGGGAAATCTTGCCTCTTGCACTTTATAGCCTCTGAAAGCCCACTGGAGAGTCAGCCATGAGTCTATTCCGACTGGCTAGGACGTAACAACAGTTCCAATCTAACCTAACCCAGTGTAGGACAGACTTTCAGTATCCTTGTATCTGTTTGTTTAAGCTATATGCATTTGTTTTATCTGTAAGGCAGTCATTGCCATGTAGTGTGAACTGACATATAGCTCTATTGGGGTTTCTGAGGCTGTAATTGATTGAGATTGCTCATCTTTCTCCAGTGCTGTCACTAGTGGATTTGAACAGCCATAGAGGCGCCCCCTATAGATTGTTATTGAGTACCAAATGAGTCAGAACACCCTCCATCGGCTTTTCAGAGTTAGTTAATCACACGGGAGGAAATTGACTATCCTTCTCCCACAGATCAGTTGAACTACTGCCTTCGGAATGCAGCTCAGATTCTTACCACTAGGCTACCAGAGCTCCAAGCTTTAGGTGGTTGCTGTTGTTAGTTAAGTGTCGTGAGTCATAGACGACTCACAGCGACCTATGAAAAGACCTGAACACTTGTATAACTTTCATCTTTTCTCCACATTTATAGATTTTCCAGAGGCAAGCTATTTCGGAAGTGGATGCCATTCCTGCTTCCAAGCTTTTTTTAATTGGGAAGCTCCACCAAACATTGTCCGCCATGGGTAACCATTATCACATTTAACACATCCATGTCACAGTGTTTAGCATCACAACAATGACGAGTAACCTCTGTATAGCAATGCATAGACCAGTGAGTGCTATACCGCTGAGAAGAATGTTTGACAAAAAACAATTTAAACCAGGCCTGAGGGCTGCAAATTAAAATCACCCACTTATGGCTTGGTAGCATCACTTTCTATCCACTAGGCCCACAGAGCTCTATGTTATTAAGTGCTGTCGAGTCCTATAGTGACCTATGAACGAAAGACATGAACACTTGTATAACTTTCTTAGTTTCTCCACATTCATAGAGGTTCCGGTTAGCAACATAAATTCCTAATGTCATTTTATTATTAATTCTACCAAAAATGTGCTTTTGATTTCAGTTCTATTTAGGAACACTTTTCTCTTGTTTTCGCTCATTCATGTATTCATTCGTTTATTAATATTTACCATTTAATAAGTATTTACCAAATACTTGCTGTGCTATATTGTTGTGTACCATCGAGTTGGAACCAACCTATAGCTGACCCTCCAGTGAGTTTTTGGAGGCAGTAAATCTAACGGGAACTGATAGCCCATCTTTCTCCTGCAGAGCAAGTGGTGGAGTCAAACCACTTAACTTTGCGTTGGTAGCCCAGCACTATCAAGTTGTTGTCCTAAGGTGCCCTCGAGTTAATTCAGACTCAGAGTGGCAATAGAACTAAACTCTGCGCTATCTTGTATCATCCTCACAATTGCTGCCATGTTTGAAAATCCATTGTTGCAGTCCCTTAAGAGATGAATGATACACATGGCTTCAGCTCTAACAGAAGGTGGCTACAATGGAGCACAGACAAGAACCAGTTTCACAAGATTGACCCCACAGCTGGCACAAGGGAAGTAATCACCTACTGTGGAATCTAAGTAGAGGTGGGATCTTTAAATGGAGAGGTGGTTAAATTAGGCACTAAACACAAGAATTGGAAACTGCTTGAATTGCTCAATCTAGGAGGAGGGAAGTTGAAGAGATAAATATGGTCAGGACATCGTGGGAAGAAGCAGAAGAAAGAGTCCTATTGTTTGTGTCATCAGGCTGACTGTGAATCACCTTGGATTTTCTCATTGCCCCGGGTTGGAACTGACTCATAGCTGAGCCTCCAGCAGGTTTTCAGAAGCTGTACCTCACACTAGAGTAGATTGCCTATCTTTCTCCTGCAGAGGAACTGGTAGGTTTGAACCTCCCTTTGGGTTGGCAGTGAAGCTCCTTATCACTTAGCCACCTAGCCCTGGAAGATATGAAGAATTTGGCATCAGAATCAGCCTGTGATATGCAAATGATACAGCCTTATTTGCAGAAAATGAAGAATACTTGAAGCACTCAAGTTCAAAAAGTATATAGCCTTCAAGAAAGATTACAACTCAATATAAATAAATTAAAACTCGTCACAATTGGAACAATAGATGAAATCTTGATAAATGGAGGAAAGATTGAAGTTGTCAAGGATTCATTTTACATGAATCCACAATCAATGTCCTTGGAACCAACAGTCTAGAAATCAAACCACATATTGCATTGGGAAAATATGCTTTCAAGGCCTTCTATAAAATTGCTGACCAGCAGGGATGTCACTTTGAGGACTAAGGTGCACCAGGTACAAACCATGTTTTTTTTTTCCAATCACCTAATATGCATGTGAAAGTTGAACAATGAATAAGGAAGACTGAAAAAGAATGGAACCCTTTGAAACATGCTGTTGGAGAAGAATATTGAATATGAATAAGGAAGACAGAAAAATAATTGATACCTTTGAAATGTACTTTTGGAGAGGAATAGTGACTAGATCATAGACTGTCAGAAGAAGGAACACTTTTGTCTTGGAAGAAATACAGCTCAAATGCTCCTCAGAAGCGAGCGTGGTGAGTGAGACGTTGTCTCCCCTGCTTTGGGCATGCTACCAGGAGGGACCGCCCTCTGGATAAAGTTAGCTTGGTAAGGCAGGATGTCAACAAGAAAGGGAGACCACCGTCAGTGAGAGAGACACACAGTGGCTAGAGCACTGGGAGCAAGCACACCAGGGATGTGAGAATGGCATAGGATTTTCTTGTGTTGCTTATAGGACTGTGAAGATGACAAAGTGTCTCCCTTTTTTGCTTAGAGGGTCACTACCAACTGTTGTGTTATGTACCTTCGAGTCAGAACCAACTCACAACTGACCCTCTTAGATAAGCGCAGGTTTACTTGTCCTTACTTACTAACCTGTAAATTTGAAAATAAATTTTCATTCTGTAGGAAGGTACTATGGGTTTGGGAGGGAAGCAGAGCTAGCCATGCCTAGAAGCAGAATCTTGCCTGTGGTAGAAAGAGAATGTGAAGTTCTTTGTTACAGACTAGAAGGTAAGCACAAGTAAGCCCATGCTTGCCTTGCCTCTTGAGTAATCTGGCACTGCTGGTGAGCTTTAATTGCAACCTAGATATAAAGGGCACTGTCGAAGATGGGTTTTATTTGTCATATATACTAACACAACACTGAATTCCATCATCATGCATGTGTCTCCAAAGAATGTGTAGTCATAGTTTTACCTGTTAAAACAAAATGTCATTTGTCCCAGATACATATATTATTACTTCCGAATATTCATATAAGTGAGCAGGTTGCCACCGAGTGGGTTCTGTCTCACAGTGATCTTTTTATGTACAGACTAGAACCAGCTTCGTAGGTTCCGTGGTCATGAACTTTTGGATGCAGAGCCCAGGCCTTTCTTCCATGGCATAAATGAGTAGGTCTGAATTGCCAGCCTTTTGGTTAGTTACCTGTTGTTGTTGTTATGTGCCATCGAGTCCTTTGTGACTCATAGCGACCCTATGTACAACAGCCCTAAACCCTGCTCTATCCTGTGACAATCACACAGTCTCTGACACTCCCATTCTGAATACCCCAGTCACTGAATCAATCCACCTCATAGAGGGTCTTCCCCTCCTGTACTATCCCTCTACCCTCCCAAGCATGATGTTCTTCTCCAAGGACCTGTACCTCCTTACAACATGTCCAAAGTATGTCAGAAGAAGCCCCAGAATCCTTGCTTCCAAGGAGTAGCCTGGTTTAACCCTCTCTAGAATGAATCTGTTTGTTTTGTTGG